CCCTGGGGCTCTTGGGAAAAATTGTTCAGCCATTAGAGGCTAGGCTCACAACCTAAAAAGAAAAGTAACAAGTTCCTGAAATCATTCTGTGCTTAGTCACACACAACTGATAACTGAAGGACTTTATTTAAAGGCTAACCCATCAACACACAGCTGCTTTCCCCCCTCTCTACTTATTGGCAAAAGCTTGAAGGCTGGTGATGTAGCCATTATTAGTGTGCATTCCATTTGTATCAATGAAGAAAAAAGGGATAAAAAGTTAGATGTAAAAAAAATTAACTTATTCAGTATCACAAAGCAAGGTGTGAGGGGTGTCAGAAATAGACATTGACAGTACCATCTATCAACTGGATCAAGTTGAATATTCAACAACTAATTCTATGATTCTGCCTCATTGCACACTACTCTTGCTACGTAAATAACCCTGTCTCCTTTCTCCCCTCCCCTCCTTTCACTCCAAAGGGGCTCAAGCTTGCTAAATAGTTCAAGGTGACCTTGAACATTTGAACCTCCAACCTCTACTTCCCAAGAGCTGTAATCACAAGAGTGTGGTGCTGTGGACCAAAGCCAGAACCTCACAGAAGATAGGAAAGTATTCTACCAACTAAGCACATCTCCAGGTGGCTAAGTAGCATCGTGTTCCAAATTTTCTTTCACTAGCTGCAGGTCCCCTTTCTTGTTCTAACTTTCTACTTTCCCTGAAAAGTATGACAGAAAAATTAGGCCTACTCTTTGAATTAGGAACTTCTATGGCAAGGGGACTTAAAACACATTGGCAACGTGTAATATAGTCACAGGCCAGAGGCAAGGACTGATGAGTTAAGTGCAACCCTCCTCATGTGAATAATGGAGTTACCTGACCAACCTCACACTCTCCAAATCTGGCTTCTCCTCTGGAAAACAAAAGAACTGGGGCAAATGATAGCTAACACATTTTTTCAGTTGTGGAAATTCTATGAGACAGCAAATGATGAGGAAAGAAAAAAGCAAACTTGCAAATGATTGTTTTGTTCTGCAAAGCACAATAAGGAAAAGAAGGGAAAAAACCTAGGGGAAATTTGGAAGCACTCAAATTTTGTTCAAGATAATTCAAGTTCTTTGTAAAAAATAATAACAAGAAAGATAAATAAATACCCACCTTAACAGCCACGTTATGGAAAATAATCATGACTTTAAAAAAAGAAAAAACCTCATAGTCAGTAATGACATGAAGAAATTAATTTCCTATTAGTGGTTTGCTAGCAGTGAGCCTATATAGACTTTTACAAAGAAGCAGTAAAGTATTTGGTCTATATATCAGCAAGTGAGTTCTGCATCTCATGCAGGCTGTGAAGTACAGACCTTAATGGTACATAGTAGAGTTTGGGCGAGGTTAGGTACCAGTGTGCAAAAGAACAGACAAAACCAAACAACATGGTCACTTGTAAGAGAAACAGAACCAGCTATCAGTCACATCTCAGAAACAGAATCTGTATTCAGGAAATATATGATGAAAATGCATACTGAATTATTTGATATTGAGATAAATCACTGGGAACAGTAATAGTTTCTATTTGTTGTATCAATAAGTGAAATATTTCATAGCTATAATATCCATTTTTATCTAAGCCCTTTAAGGTCTGTGTAAAACTACATAATTTTGAAGACAAAAAGAATCTAAAACAAAGTTGTCTTCTCTAAGGTCATATGTACAAGTTTTCAAGTCCGACCTCATATAAAATGCCTGAATTGGGTTCTTCTCTATCAGGAATTTGCATCTGTAAAAACACAGGGGGCCTGTTCCCTATTACTAAGATTACTATCTACTGTAAACCCCAGTCTTCCATCATTGTTCTTTCCTTTAAAAAAAAATTGTTCACTCACTTTCTAACTTTTTTGTTTTGAAATTATAATTACATCATTTCCACCCTTCCCTTTCCTCCCTCTAAACTCTCACATATCGTCCTTCTTGCTCTTTCAAATGCATGGCCTCTTTTTTTCATTAATTGCTGTTATATGCAAATATGTATCTACATATACATTCCTAAATACGGCCTGCTCAGTTTGTATAATATTATGTGTATGTATTTCTTCAGGTATGACTGTTTAATACTGGGTGGCCTATTGGGGTGCTCTTCCCTGGAAAAGAATTTTTGTACTACACTCAGTATTCCTTAGTTGTCTGTAGTTCTTTGTATAGGGTTAAGGAATTGTGGGCTTTTCTCCATCAACCACTAAATTCCATTGACCTAATATATCTGGTGATTCCCGAAATTTTGATTATATTTGACAAATAAGTACAGCACACCACACCTTCTATGGATAAAACATTGCTTTAGCAAACAACTGCTTTTTGAGACAGGATGTCTCTGTCTGGCTCTGACTTCCTGGAACTAGCTCTGTAGACCAGGATGGCCTTAAACTCAGAGAGACCCGCCTGCCTCAGCCTCCAAAGTGCTGGGATTAAAGGAAAACATCATCACTGCCTGACACTCATTTTTTTGTTTGGTTGTCTTTGTTGTTTTGTTTTTGTCTTTAGATTTATTTACTTATTATACAATGTTCTGCCTGAATGTATCTTTGCAGACCAGGAGATGGCACCAGATCTCATTGCAAGTAGTTGTGAGCCACCATATGGTTGCTAGGAATTTAAGTCAGTACTGTTAAGCACTGGGCCATCTCTCTGGCCCCATTTTTTGTTTTGTTTTAATATTTTTAAATCATCATTTGACAAAAAAGACCTGTTTTAAACCAAGAAAGAAATGCATACTTGTAAGGGAAATTAATTTTATTTATATTTCTTACAGATCCAAAAGAAAAAAGTATTTTAATTACTAAGTAAGTAAATAATTATCATTTATTAGATTTATAAAGGAGCATCTCTTGTGAATGTAGTCATTCATTTGTAGCTGGTTTGATTAGACACAAACATCTACAAAGCGAATTCTAAAGACAGTGCAAATCAGACCCTGACCATTCCATTTAATCTTTGTTACAACTTCATGAAGTAGCTATCATTTTACAAAAGACTGAAGTATAGTAAATTTAAATAACCTGTCCAGAATAAAACTGATAGTAAGAAGGGGATAGATAGATAGATAGATAGATAGATACAAATCAATAATACGGCAGTCAACAAGAACAATCCAATTTCCTGACCTTTACACCTAGCACAGCCTTAAACAGAGAAAACATTTCTTGCACTAAAGGAGATAAAAAGACGTATAAAATCATGTTGCCTATACTTTTTATAGGTCTTCACTACGCAATATTTAAATCTTACTCATCTCTGGTGCTTTAACTTTGACAGATTTTTTAAAACTATGTCTTTCATATCATGGTACTCCTTTCATTTTTATGTTTGTTCTTCAGTAATAGTCAAACTATCAAGAGTGCACAGATAAGATAGAGGGCACAAGGGCTTCCACAAAAGCAGGGCTCTGTCCAAGAATATCTCAAGCCTAAGAATACTAAATATGTCTATCTATCATTCCCTCTAACATCACCATTAAGTATCATATCTGCTCCAGTATCTTCATCACAAAAATCTCTTTGCTAGCTGGGTGCCTGTGAGTAACTCTAATACCCAACCAGAAACTTACCCACCTCTGTACTATGAGGCTACTTTTCAGGTCTGATAAGACCTGGAGAGGTCACATATAATAAAAACTCAGCTGGAGAAACTTTGCCTACTTCTGGAGAAGATGACCACAAGCAGTGAGATGGGTGTGTAGGAATGTGCCTGGGTTAAATAGGAAGCTGGGTGACATTAACAGAATCAGTTTAACTTTCTCAACCACAACCTACATTAAAAATAAGCTAATAAATACATTACAAGTAAAAGACAATTCTTCTATCTAACCTATAGATCAAATAACAAAAACAACAGGACTTTCAGTCCAATCACTGGAGGTAAAAAACTTCAGAATCATCAATTTGGTGAAAGTGCTTGAATACATTGTTACATGTTCTTCTCCTAAAATCCCATCTAATACTCAAGTAGAAAAACCCAGAGAGCTTGAAAGTGAAGTTAATATAAACTACAAAAGAACCACTTAATGCATTCTAAGACAGTAACTTGAGCTTCTGAAGGAATTTTAAGAATATTCATAAAAACTATATTATAAATTGTTGCTATATAAAACTGCTATTTCAAAAATATAGAAAACACACCTCCACACTCAAAATATATTTTTCAGAATCAGAAACTCTCTTAAGAATGCAGACAATATTGAATGTCTACAAGTTTAAAATTCCCAAGACACAATAATGTAGCCATGAGCTGGAGAGATGGCTCAGCAGTTAAGGCCACTGATTGTTCTCCCAGAGAATCTGAGCTCAAATCCCAGGCCCACACACAGCTCAGAACCATCTGTGACTCCAAGATCTGATACTCTCATACAGACTAACTCCCAGGCAAAACAACAACCCACATAAAATAAAAGTAAATAAGATTTTAAAAAGAAAGAACAATGTATCCAGGAATCAATAGTAAAGTCTAAATCCTGAGACAATTGACAAGGTACCTCACCTCATAACATAGCTCTTTCTTGGGCACTGATACCACTATGTTAATAGAGTCAGTCAGCACCTCTTTCCCTCCAAATAACAATCAATATCACGGCCATGACCCCATGATAATGGAGATGGATTAAATTAAAATGTAAGAGTTAGCCAATAAGAAGCTAGAGCTAACGGGCCAAGCAGTGATTTAATTAATATAGTTTCTGTGTGATTATTTTCGTTCTGGGAGGCCAAGACAAAAAAAGTGGCCTCCTTCTACAACATAGATAGTCGGAGAAAAGTAAACTGCTGGGAGAAAGGAGGCAGAGGCAGGGAGAGGCCATGTAGCTCTGCCAGAAACAGACGCCAGATGGAACTTTACCTGGTAAGCCACAGCCACATGGCAATACAAGATAACCAGAAATTCAGCTCAGTTAATTGACTTTTTTTTAAAAAACAAACTCTAGATGAATCACAGGACTTAAATAAAGATTTAAATAAGACTTTAAAAATCTTACTCTTGATGAATCATAGGAAGGGCTTGGTTGACCACTTGTGCCCCACGATGTTGTTCCTCCACGTTCATCCATACCTAAGGAAAGAAGACAGCGGACAATATAAAAACACACTCAGGATGTTTGGAATAGTACAGTCCACATGGTGGTGTGAGCATCATTATGGAACTTGATTGACCTCACTCCCTGCCTCAGTAATATATAGCAAGTTAGTTTCTTCAGATACTCTCATTATTATTCCCCTATATATCATGAAATTTCAGAATTAAAATATTTCCTTGGAAACTTTCAGATGGATTAATCTAAGTGTCTCCATTTTTCTACTCCTCTCAAACTTTCTCTCTATAAAATATGAAGAATTCAGCTCCTCTACAACAAAAATAAATCTAGCCAAGAAACCATTCAGTTTAATAAACTTGTTTCTATCAGACTAGAGATAAATATTCTTAACTGAGGATAGAAAAATCTCATACTAGCTATACAGAGCTAACTATTGTGATGTGAGAATGCACTTCAATCTCTTCAAAGCTCTTATCCACGATGTGACTGCAAACTGAAGATCTGTGTTACAAGGGTAAAGACTTAGTCACTACCATGCTCTTCTGATGATTCTATACTTTCACATTCAGTCCTAGAAAAACGGAAAATCTCTCAATCCAGTCATTTGTATTTTTCTGATTCAATCTAGTTATTTCTACATTTTCTAAATTTAAAAGTCCAGTTTTTTTCATCTTTGATTCCTAGGAACAGTATGTGTTCCCTAGCCCACTGTGAGCTGTTTTCTATGATGGAAGAGAATGTTGGTTTTCTTTCATTTGTATATGAGAAAAACATAGATGTTAGAAACTATTAAGTTTAGGAACCCTCTCAGACTGTTCCTTGAAGTCCTCTGTGATGCAGGTAAAAATGCAGTATTCAGTCATAAAATGTCACAACCTCTGTGATAATTTGTGGATGTCCAAGTCTTTATAGAAACCAGCTGAAGGTATTGAAAAGAAAGGTGTAAGAAAATGTTTATGTATAGATACAGATGTATGGGGTAAGAGTGGATAAATCTTTAATTTTAGGTATCTGCTGGGAGTCTGGAATTTATTCCCATAGGTAAGGAGGAACTGCTGTATAGAGAATAAGCCAAACACAATTTACAGGAAACCGGCTTTCAAAATACACACACACACACACACACACACACACACACGTTTTATTTGCTCTTAGAAAAATCCTATTGAATTCTTAATTTAATAGAGAGACTACACATGTAATGCATCATGGAAAAGCATATAGTTGGTACCTTTCCGGCACCATGTGTTACCTGAAAGCTACTTTCTAATCATTTTCTTTGAAATCATTAATATAAAGTAGACCATAGGATTTATGATTCAACTCACAGAATATACTAACATGATATAAAACTACAAGTAATTATATAATTTGTATACAAAAGATATTCTCATTGATTATAAATGGAAAACCTCTTCTGATGAGGAAAATAAGACCAAAACTTGCCTTAATGTAGTTATAGCAAACAATTAATAAATGAGATTTCTATATTATTTTTAATATTTATTTAAAAAACACAGAAAAGACAGTGCTAGATATAGAAACCAAATGCTCAACTTTTTGCAAAAGACAAAATTCCTTCCACAAGATGGAAGAAAGGGCAAAGGTTAATTTATTAATAAAATGGTAATTTATTAAACAATTTAGCCAACAGTTAAACACTAATACCACTGCTACTGGACAAGGAAAGAGGCACACAGGGTATTTCAGAGTAATAAGGATCTGGCTTAGGTTTTCAACTCCAAACTCTGTGGTTTTATTGTCAACATAGCCAGACTGACTAAAGGTCGTGGCTGGCACTGACAAAAGTAATCATTTTCTATCAATGACTCCTTTCTGCTCAAGACAATGGCTATACAAACACAAAAATATGACCACAATGATAAAACTTCCAAAGCTTCGACCACAACAAAAACAAAATGACACCTGAAGATAAACTTTATGAGGATATTAAACAAACTGATAAAAATGTGAAAAACAAGCAAATGCACAAGAATTACAACAAAATGGAGAGGGAAAGCAAATGTTTTTAAATATCTAAAAAAATCATTCCCATATTTTTTACTTTTCCATTTTTAGTAGCTATATAGCAAATCAACAACTTTAGACCAATTCTGTAATCCACAGATCTAAATGACTGTTATGAGAATGCTAAGTTATGATTAAAAGATTGAAGTATTTTTGACTATTTGATTTTCAAAAGCATAATTATGTTTCTGTTCAGCAGAATTAAAACGGGTAAGCAATAAGTAAACTCACATTAACACTGAAGCATTCCTTTCATTTTGTTCTTTTAACCTTTCGTATATGTACAAAGTATGCCCTAGAGTCTGCTTTTCTGAATGGAATCAATTATATAAAATATACTTCTAACTATTTATTTCATGTGCCCCACTTTTAATAACATACAGTTTGTTTTCTTTTATTTTCTTGCTGTGTAATTCAAACTCACTATGAAAGTCCCAGCTCAGCCTCTTAAGTGCTGGGATTACAGGCATGAGCCACTGTGCCTAGCTTGTTATTTTTTATTTCTATCTAGTAAGTGTACTATTATTTTCCCATTGCTGTGATAAAAGTGTACTGTACTGTTACTTTTCCATTGTTGTGGTAAAACACTATAACCAATGAAACTTACAGAAAGAAGAGTTTATTTGAATTTATGAATCAAAATGAATAAGAGTTTATGATGGTGGCACAGCGGGCGTGAAGGCTGGAATTGCAAGCTGAGCTCACACTTTAAATGCTAAGCAGGAAGCTGAGAGAGCAAATAGGAATCTTTACACTCTCAAAGACCACCTCCTTGGTGACATAATTCCTCCAACAAAGCCTTTTAAACAAACATGTGAATAAACAGCACCACAGACAGGAATCAAGTAAGTGTTCAAATGATCTAGATTATAGGGAACACCTCATTAAGACCACCACATTTAAGAACAATCATTAAACTTAAGGCCTTGTTTCTAAAAGCAATGGTGCAGATTGAATGAAAGAAGTTGGTCTTTTTTTCCCTTGTAAAAACATTTAGTAAGAAAAGTCACAGCTGGGTGTGGTGGCACACACCTTCACTTCAGCACTTGGGAGGCAGAGGTGTCTTTTTGAGTTTGAGGCTAGCTTGGCCTACATGGTGAATTCCAGGTGAGCCAGCGCTACAAAGCAAGACCCTATCTCAAAAAAAAAGTAAAAAGGAAAAGAAAAGAAAAAAGGCAAGTCACTAAAAATACATCTGAAATTACTGTATGTACAGGCAGCTTCCTGCAAGATTGGGAGCTTCAAGAAGGAATAAACGAAATTTGATGGAAATCAAATATATAAAACTCTTGGAGGACCAGGCAAACTTTTGGCCAAGTCCAATGTCTGTCTGGCATTACTCTCTTTTCGATGAAAAACTCAAATGCAGTTTGCCCATTTATCTCATTGCCTCCACCATAAATATTTTACTCTGAATGCTCTCTAAAATCCTATTCCTCAGTTCCCATCCCATTCGTTCCCCTTTAGCATGCTAGCATATGGACCTATGGGTTTCTTTAGGATTTTATCCACCAGTAAAAGCAGAAAACGATTTTTTTTTTCCCCTGAGACAGGGTTTCTCTGTATAACAGCCCTAGCTGTCATGAAACTAGCGCTGTAGACCAGGCTTGCCTCGAACTCACAGAGACCCGCTTACCTCTGCCTCCCGAGTGCTGGGATTAAAGGTGTGTGCCACAGCCACCAGGCCTGAAAACATATTCTATTTGAAGAGAGAGACTTTTCCATGCCCTAACAACCTGGCTTTTCCCATGAAGGTGCTGAAGACAAGGATTATTAACACTATGTTTCAATCTTTGGTGAACCTCAGGAAAGATCTGCCTAAGATGAAAAGGATGGTATCAGGCAAGACTGCTGGCAACAAAGACCAAGCTCCAAAACAATGAAAAAAGGAAGGAAATAAAAAGAACATAAAAAAAGATGGAGACAGCTCACAGCAAAGATGTCAAAATGGCAATTCAATACAGACATGTGTATACATCAGCATCTGCACAGAGAAAGCAGGTATCTGTCAGGTTAGGAGGACAAGTCAGGAAACTGTACACTTCCCTGCCCACAGAGTTATTTCTAACACTGAAAGAAGTTCTTTATTCCAGCAAATCTAACCCTAGTACCACTGTAAATAAACAAAAGATAACATACTTTGTAGGACTGCCATCTGCTATCAGGAGGATTCAATAAGTGATTTGTAAGGAAAAGCTAATTGGAAATAACTGTATTAAATAAACAACACGATGAATGTCTTACTTCAATAGTTTCTTCAATTTTTATTTGTGAAGTAATGATACTGCTTTATATAAGATTCAAAGGATGCAATCAATTCTAAATTAATAAACATCTGAATACCAACAGTTTTTCATACTTTTTTCAGGTTTTATATACACATGAAATAAATCTACCAATACGTTTTCTCAGGAATTCACTGTGATACAGGATCAATTAGAATATAATGAGAGCACAAAGAGAACAAGATGGGAAATTTACCTGAAGAAACAATGAGCAAAAGAGAATGCACAGATGGGTAAAGGTTAAATCTACCAAATAAGACTGTGGTAAATGCCAACAGTAAAAATGCAAAGAAAGTCCTATCCACCCACATCAAAATCAAGCTGACAGCCAAAATTTTAAAATTTCAAGAAACAGTCAGCAAGAGACATATTACCTAAAAAGGAAAAATTCAAATCACTACTTGCCTTCAAAAACTGGATCATGGCAGATACAGAAAAAGATTTTTTAACGTACCTACTCTTATCCAAAATTCTACATTTAATCAAAATATCCTTCAATACTAAAGATGAATGAAATCAAGACATTCTCACATGAAAGAGAATTAAGGATTCAACATTGGTTAAAACAAAACAAATACTAAAAGTAGTTCTTCAGGCTGATGAAAAATGTTACCAGAGGAAAGAAAGGGAAAGTATCGATAAGACAGCACTCTTTTTAATGTTTGCAAAACACATAGCTACTTAGAACAAAACCGACAATCTTT